TCATGGATACTTTTTTGTATGGAAGTATAATAATATTAAGAATGAGTGTTTTTTGTTTTCTGGGATGATTCATGTCGTGTTTCATTCATTCAAAAATGGTAATTATGTATATATCTATACGTATCTACGTTGTATGTATGCATTTGTGTATGTACTAAAATTTACTCATTTTTTGGTTTAATATCGAGTTTCTGTTCTGGATTCTTGTTTTGTGTTAACCATTTCGGACATATCGTTCAAAATGGGTACGTATATATTTTTTTATTTACGGCAATTCTATGACATTCCCAGAATGATGAATTCATTTTTATTATGTAAAATACTTTTTGTTGGGTAATAGTTTATGTAAAATATAATTAAGACTTGGGGTTTTAATTATAATTGTTATTTCGTTTATTTAAATTATTTTAGTTTATCATAATATATTTTATATTCACTCACATTTTTATGTACGTATTTTTGTGTTTATTAATTTCCATTCACTTTGTTATTCTTTTATGTTAACGGAAGTATTATATATAGGTTTTTAATTTAATGTTGTTATATTTATTTTTTTTTGTTTTTTAATAATTTACAATATTATATCTAAAATCTAATACGTATTTTGAGTTTTATTTTTTTGTGTTTGGGGATTGTGTTTTTCTTTCTTTTAGATTTGGCTTTAACAATTTGTTTTACTTTTATAAGCCGTTTGAGTGTTTTGTTAAAGCAAATATCATGTACTTGTATGTATGGTATGAGTTCCTTTTAGTTACTGGCAAACGATGTTCATTTACGTATTTATTTTTTTATTTATGATTATGTTTTGTGTATATAAAAATATCAAATTGCATTGTATTGATTTTTAATAAAGAATTGTTTTAAAATAATAATTTTGGTTACAGTTTGAATCAATGCATTTTTGGAGATATGGGAAAATATTCAAGAACGCCAAAGAGATTATTCATATTGGCAAAAACATTCTCACAGTACTTTATTGCAATGTTCAATAGCGAAATGATATTATCCAGTATAATACATCATACCGAAATTTTCCAAATTTTGAACATAAAATGTTATAATTTTCGCAGGACTTTGAGAAAATTGTGTTGATTTGTATTGCAGTTATACCCTAAAAAATTCTGTGCCCTCTTGTAACTTGGTTGTAAAATATATACCAGTTGATATATTTTAATTTTTATTTTTGTTGTCTAAATTGTTTGAATAAGATTTTATTCAAAAAGACTATATTTTACAATTTGCATTTTTCAAATGTTGTACTAAAATATCGCATGCGAGACTTCATAGCTTCAGACGAATTATTTATAAAATTATTTAGCGGAATATGGCAGAAGGATATTAATAATTTGTAGACGTGTTAAAATTAAAAAAAAAAAAAAACAAGTAAAAAGTCAGTCAGGCCGAATTTATGCACCCATTTCTAGGGGAAGGGCATTTAAAAATCCTAAAATTGATGGAGACTTTTATAAAGTGACTATGTTAAGGAGAAATGTAATACAAAGTTACATATACACATACATTAATCCAAATTTGGCAATACATTTATTCCAGGACTGTCCACAGCCATACATTTAAGTTTTGTAATTATATGTGTTTAAAATATTAAAGTTCTGTTTCTATTTGATTTCTGTGAAAAATTTTGTAAAAATATTATTTTCAAATTTTAAGGAAGGAAAAAAATTTATATTCAATGCAAATATGGTTGTTGATGATACATTTTCCCGTATAAAGATATATCAGTTTCTGTTTTGCTCTCCCGCCATAGTACGGGTCACATATTTCGACTTGTTCCGAAGTGTATGAAAACAAAGATGAATGAATGACATTTTTTAAAATATTTCTCTTTTGTAATTGTATGTTGAGCAATTTGACACACATCAACAGCCCATGTGACCTACTTTGGGCACTGCTGGCTTAAACATACCGGAAATCAGAACTCAAAATATCAAATTAAAACCAATGCAGTTGTAAAGTGCCCAAAAATCTGAATAAAATAGGTGCACTGTTAAATGGAGCCAACCCCGATACTTCCGCTAATATTTATTTATTTTTTTTTTAAGGAAGATTTTCTGCCCAGTGAGAATACTGCTAATTTAAGATGTGGGGTACATCAAAACTTGGAGCGATACCAAATATGTACACAATTTCAAAGCTCTAACTTGAATATTACGAGCTCTACCGGCAGTAAGTCCGCGCCTTTAAAATAGGGAAAAAATCTGTCTGATTTTTTTATGGTGACTATGTCCAAATACGAGCATATATTGAGATCCCCGAAGGAACTGAAATGTCACATTGTAGACAATTGATCTTCTGAAAATCAAAGTATGAAAATCTCTGGAAGTCTCTAACATTTTAAGACATTTGTATTCCACGTCACGAAATGTCTAAAATCTGGAATATAAACAAATGGAAACAAAATTTAAATCAATCCCATACAAATTCAAGAATCTCATGTAAAAATCTCAACATCTTCTGGCGATATGGCCGATTTTTAGTGGCAGCATACAGGGAAGACGAGAGTCATTTTCAAAGTTTTAATGCGTTCTCGAAATATTGTTTTTGTGATTGGCGGATTGTGGTCGAATATATATATATATATATATATACATATATATGCAAAATTGAAATAGAAAATAAGAGATCCTTTAAGTCCAAAAACGATCGCCATTGATCGGCTGATTGGTCTGTTTTTTGGTCGCTCTAGAGACTTTTTGATGGTTGTCGGTCAAAAGACCATGTATCCTAAGTGAAAATTAAATAATCTTCATATTATGTAGGGTATTAAAAAAGGCCTAGTTGACATTTAATTTTATTTAAAGCCTATTATGTATATTCTATTGGTAGAAGGCAGTGGAGATATACTCAACTTTGTAAAGGGGTCTACATATTCTAATATGGTTTATTATTGCCAGTGTCATTCAAGGTAACGCTAATATCGCAAAATCAGTGTAGATAATCATATGATCCCAAACAGCTCCGCCTACTGCTTTTTATGTATGAAATTATTAACCCCCAAGAATTGGAATCATTAAGTTTTACATAGATTACTTTAGGATAAATTAAATTTTTTAGTCCCAATTAAAATTTTTAATCTTTTCTCGGCGATTCGAGAGAGTAGTTTGTGCACTTGTACTATGGGGAAAACGTATAGGTTATAACCCATAAAACAAATTTTTAATTGGAATTTACATGTAGTCTAGAATGTCTCATTGAAATTTCAAGTAAAAAGTAATACTCTATTTTCCCTCCAAACAGTGTTATTTATGACAGCCACAAGAAAAAAAATAGATTTTTTTCTCATCTAGGCATTTAATATTTTTCTATAAGACCATAGGACAATAACTAAATTGCATTTTAAACTACAATATTAACATGACTCAATAAATTTTAGATGCTTAAAATACTATAAATTAAATAAATTAATTTATCATCGATGTCACCGAGAGCATAAAGATGCTATGGCCACACTTACAATAACCACTGAAATCTCCATATATCCCACTGATATTCCCAAAACAATTTTCCCAAATCCCCTAAAGTGTATTGAGTGAAAGAAAATAAAAGATGTTTGTATATATTTTTTGTGTCATTAAATTTAATCATAAAAAATTAAAATAATTTTCTAAAATATGGCATAAAGTTTCAGGGAGCAAGGGGTAAGGATGGACAGATAGGAGGGAAAAAATTATACATTATGCTTAAGTCAAAGAAATCTTTTTACAAAAAATTCTCTTTCTTTTCAGATACAGATCATACACATATATAGATAGCTTACACTTTTAACTAGAAAGATATACAACAAAACAAAAAAAAAAAAAGAATATTCATAAGAAGTAATTTTAAAAATAATATATAATTATATATCAAATATAGAAATAAAATAAAAATAATAATAATTATTATTATTGAAAGCTTTTTTTAACGAAAAAACAATTTAAAATTATTTTCTTAGTTTTGAAATTTAAATTTTTTGTTTTCTTCAGATTCTTTCATCAAAAATTGTTTTGTAAAACAAAATAATAAAGGCGTTACAAAGAAAAAGATATGATAAATATAGAGTTAAAAAATACTCAAATGTAGGGGTGGTCTTTGAAAATGCACTGCATTTCCAAAGGCATTAAGAACAAAATAAAATATAATTCTAATAGAACGTGAGAGAGAGGGCGTGGAAAACAAATATTTAACAAAACAAAAATTTGTGTTACAAAATGATGGAAGGTAAAATGTAGATTTTTTGAAAATTGTCAATTTGGGTATGTTTTATGTACGTATGTATTTATGTTATATGTAAAATATTTTGATTGATTTTCTTTTTGTTTTTAGTAAATATTGGAGAGTACGATTTTATTTTAATTTTTGTGTTTTACTTTTTTGTTATGTTATATATTTGTTTTGTTTATATAATAATTAAGTATATATGTTGTTGTTTTTTTAAATAAACATTTTTTTCTTTGTGTATAATGTAAATAGTTTATTTTTTAATGTTTTATATGAGATTATTCTTTTTAGAGATTATTTCTTAGTTTTTTTTTTCGTTTTTTCTTTTGTTATCTTAATTGCTGTTACTTTCGTTTTTCTTTCTTATGTGACTAAAATTACTATGTAAAATTTTACGTATTTTGTTGCAACTATTTATCATTAGTTCTTCTTTTTTCGTGTTTTATGTTTTGAATTTAACTTAGTTTTGTTTTTATGTTTACTGTTTAATTTAATTTGTATATATAGTAATAATTATTTATATATTATATTATATTATATTATATATTAGAAAGTACATAAACTTAAAATTAAATGGGGGAGGGGGGCAATTTAATGTTTTCTTTTTCTCTTATAGGGGTATAAGGAGGAAGTTTCCTTATTTCTTTTTATTTGACAAAGTTCATTCTCCTTCTCCACCTCCGACTGTGTTGTTTTTTTTTTAGTTTTTCTTAATCAGTACTTGGTTTTGTTTTGTTTTCTTGGGGGAGTTGGTGGTTGATTGGCTGGCTGGCTAGTAAGCTGTAAAATTTATGAATTCACTTTACTAACGGCCTTCAACAAATCATGATTTGTTTTATCTAACGCACTCATCATACCCAAATTACCACCCAGACCACTGCCAACACCCATACCCAGTCCCAGTTTGAGGTCATTTTGTCCCACAACGGAATGATGCAAATGGCCGGGATTGTGAGCGATGATCGAATGATGATCCTGATGTTGTTGCTGATGCTGTTGCTGCTGTTGATGGTGTTGCTGTTGTTGTGGCTGTTGCTGTTGGACTTTGTTGTTGTTTTGTTGGGCGGATTTCATGGCTTCTTGGGCTTTCATTTTTTCTTGTTCCTCGCGATCGCGACGAGCCTGAAATTGCAAGGAAGGGAAAATTGGGAAAGTTAGAAAATATTCTTCGAAATAAAATATATATTAAAAAAAATAAAATTGTTTCTTTTTCAAATAGTTATTATAAAAATAAAAAAGAAAAACATTTTAATAAAATAATTTATAATAAAAAATCTGTCAGAGTTTTGAATAAGAGAATTCTGCCATATTTTTTAGTCTGTCTCGAAGTCTATGTTTAAAGCGAATTTCAAGGAAAAAATGATTGGAAATTATATACATATATTGGCCCACATGTTTGTATAGTCTCCTTATAATATTCGACATTGACATTTTCGTTATCAACGGGTAGCTAATATTCTTACCAAAAATTATGAATATTTGTAGGTTAGGGTAGCCCCCATACTTTTTCAAAATATTGTACTTTTTATAGAGTTAGAATATAATTGTATATGAACAGAAGGTCCAAACCTCTTCATTAGAATCAGTTTTGTTTCTTCTCAATTGTCTCAAAAAATATTTTTCAGTTCACGACCTAAACCCAAATTTTTGTATCCCAATTTTTAGTTGATTTGTTCCCATATAATATTCATTTTAAATTATTTTTTTTATTCTCATTTACTTACTTGTTCATTTATCTCTTTGACGGCACGCAATTCTTTTTTAAGTTTCATGCGACGATTTTGGAACCAGATTTTTATTTGTCTCTCGGTCAAGCACAACGCATGGGCGATTTCAATTCTTCGTCGTCGGGTTAGGTAATGATTGAAATGGAATTCTTTCTCCAATTCTAAAGTCTGGAAACGTGTATAAGTTTGACGGCCGCGACGACGAGGACAACCATTGGGACCTGAAAATAAAAAAAGAAACAAAGAAATTAGTTTGGGATTTGACAAAGAAAAAACAACAACAACAAAAAATATGCAAATTATGGATGTACATTAATTAAGAAAAACCAGATAACTCTAAGAATACGTTTTTATTAATGCATTTTAATTTGATTCATATCTTAAGTTAACAAAATAAGAAATCAAATGAAGCAAGAAGTTCACATTTCCCAAAATGAAAGAGTAAATGGACAAGCCTTTCTTTCATAATTCAAAACAATAACTTTTTCATATTTCTTTGTTCGGTGTGTCTGGAATTTCTTTTTTCATTTATTTTGTTGCAGAACAAAACACTACTATCTAACAAATGTTTATATTGTTTCAATTTAAATCTCAGCTGTCTTTATTTTTCCTCTTTGATACCCAGGGTGAGTGGACACCTTGGGTTTTTGTTTACGGCAAGTGTGTTGTCTGGACTTCCAGCCATGTTGTTATTTCCTTGCATTTCGTCTGACATAGAAAAAAGGGTAAACGTCAAATTACATTTTTTTAGATATTTCCACTACGCACAATCAGCCATTTAACGTCATGCAATTGATGAGAGCTCTGTGGAACAGTATGCGGTAATGTGCCGCCATACGACACAGCATGACCTCGCGTCGGCTTTTTGTCAGCCAGGCAATAGAGGTGCGTTCACATTCTTGCTACGAAAATTGTTTCGTTGCGCTTGTAAATCTTTGAATTTGTTTTGTCTTTGGCCAAATCCGTGGGTAATTTTTTAAAGATAGGTTTTTTGAGCGTGCAAAAAACTCTTTGCCTTATTTCGTTTTTCTCTACTGCTGGGAATTCTTCATGCTACCTGTGCCTATTGCATTTTTTGCAAGCTGATTTTTTTAAGATATTTCTTAGTTATTGGTATTAGCTGTTTTTGTTTACGGCACCCTTTAGTTATTGTTTAGTTAGTTGCTGCTGCTGTTTTTTGTTTCCCTCTGTGAGTTTTTTTTTCGGAAAACTTATCAGCGCTATAAAAAAATATTTTTTGTATTTCACGGTTTCCAAAAAAACACACACCCAAATCTATTGTAAACAGGTAAATCTTGACGGGATATTTTGCTAATATTTTGAGTTTGTTTTGATTTTTGTTACAAAAATATTTGTGTGTGTTTTAAAGGCATTTTTTTTATTTATGTTATTAGCTAAGGTCGTCGTCGTGTTTTTTATGATTGCAATGGGAGGTCTTGCTTGTTGCATTCTTAAGAAATGTCATAAAAAGGCTTATCTAGCAGGTTTTTGAAATTTTAATTTATGTAGTTTTTGTATTTTTAAACCTTTGTTAAAAAAGAACGGGGAACTGAAACTAATTTTTTAACTAAGACTAAATTGTATATCTAAATCAATTTAAAGTCAAATGGTTACAGTTACACTTTAACATAATGTTTGTAAATATAATGCATTCTGGGTTTTCGTTTTTTTGTTAGTCAAAAAATTAGAAGACATTTAAAAAGTGGACCCATGATAAAAAATAAACAGGTTATTTGGAAAATGTAATAATATTAGTTTTTATTAACATCTAAGCTTCCAGAAAACGAGAGAGAGAGCATATTTATATATTTTCTTAATTATTATTATTATTATTTTTTTTTTTTTTGAAGTATTGATCTTAATTAACTTCATAATTTTTTTAAAATATTCGTAAATTTTTAAGTAACCATTCTAAGTCGATAAAAAACATTTTTAAGTAGAGTATTACGAATATTTGTTTTAAAAATAATTATTAATATTTCCCCATATTATTTGATTGTTAAACCCTCAAAATAATGTTAAACCCCAAAAAAACAATTTCCCCCCAACATATTGTCATTATCATTCCCCAATAGATACCCAATTTCTTTCCTATCGATAATTTCATTCCTTTACAACACTGCAAAATATTTATTACCATACAAATGTCTCGTTTAAGATAGAGCACAATTTGTTATATAGTTGTACTCTTCTAATAACTAACCAAATAACAATTATGGCAGCCAATATGGCTGTCGATATAAACACAGCAGCAAGAACAAAAACAACAACCAACAAAATTCATCTTCTCTACAAATGGCAAACACAGCACAGGTAAACGAGATGGGTTGCCTCATTGTTCACCGCACACACAGTTATCACATTGAGTTGTGAAGACTCTCGTGAGTGCATGGTTACTCTCTCAACGGTAAGGCACACTCTCTTTATAATTGAGAGGAGATATGAGATTGTTTATGTTCGGGGTAAAACACTTGAGTGTGTTTTATTTGAGTAGCTGTAACAAAGAGCGTTAATGAGCAGAGTTGCCACATTGGAAAATGGGAAAATATGAATAAAGAGAGTAGAAAATTAAAATAAACTAATATGCGAAATTAAATGACTAAAAAGAAAAATGTCTGTTGTAGAATAAATTTTGTATTAAAATATTAATAGTGAGAGATTTAACTCACATATAAATTTAATTATTTTTAGAATTGCAGTAAAAATCGTAGTACAAAATTTTAATACAAAATAAATATAAAAATAATTATTATTAATAATATTTATAATGGAAAGTAGTGTTTATTGTGTAAAGAAAACATAAAAATTAAATAAAAACTAATTTTAATTAATTTAAATTGAGAAAATATAAATATTTAAATATATGTGGTATGAATTTCTTTTATTTAGAAATATTTTATAAATTCCCTCTTTGTATAAAAATCAAAACATTTTTGAATATGTTTAGAACATAAATCTCAAAACTCCCATTTTATAATTTAACATCTAACGTATGAACACATGTTCAATCATATAACGAAGCAACTCTCCCTCTCTTTGTAATCAAAACAATTTTAATAACAATTTAAACAAAGTTTCATTGTTTATTTAAGATTATTTATGAAGGAATTTCAGTTTTTTTTTTTGGTTTGGCTTTTTAAAATTTCCAAAAAACAACCAATAAACATATTTTTGTAGTTGTTTTTATATTTTTGCTACTGTGTTATGGCATGCAGCCGACATTGCATGAAGGAAATAGAAAATGTTTAGATTGTTGAATTTTGTAAATGCCATCCGGGAAATACATGTTTGATGGCAAAACATCAAAAATGTTTTTATATAAACAAATCAATAGAAAGTTAAAGACATGTGATAAAAAATACAGACAGAGAAAAGGAATGAAGATCTCCATGCAGATCTCCAATGCATTGAAATATTCCAAACGTGAGTTATTTTATTAGGCGTTTTTAAGATATTGGGTCACGTCCTAAAAAGTAAGGATATTTTTGGCATCAATAACTCGGCATAAAAACTGAATATACATTTCAAAATATTTCAAATCCGGATTTTCCATTTTCAGCACCCTGTAACTGACAACTGAATGCACCAAACAAAAAACAGCAAATTTTTTTTACTGCGAATTGTCACTCTTTCAACAGGCACAAAATCTGAAATTGTTTGATCGATAATTTACGAGAAGTCTATTAGTACAGCCATATGCCAAAAAATTATGGATTTCTTTTTCCCAAACCCAATATATTTTTATGAAAAATGTACACATTCTTAAGAAATATCATACACCCGATATTTTTAACAACTTTGTAATTTATTTATTTTGTCAACAGAATTAAAATAAAAAATAATAATAATAATTTCGAAAACAAATTCCGCACACCCTAATATACCAACTAAGCAACCTGATGACTAATATTAAATCTCTGAAGAAAACAGAAATTCATTCAAGTTTTTTTTTTCATTCTCTCTCTCTCTCCGTCGTTCATTAAGTTATTGTAAGCAATGTCCAACAAAAAATATAATGGCACCATTGTTGAAAGCTACAATAAATGTTAGTTTTATTGGTATACTTATTTTTTCATAAAAGATTTTTGATTCTAAAAAAAAACCGGACCACAAAAAAACGGTACAATGTGAAACCAATTTCTTTGAATGGAAAAAATATGACATGTTAGCTTGATTCAATGGGAATTTTATGGCCACATAATTTGCTGAATTTTTGTTGCTGTTATTGTGACTTGATGTCTGGGAAGTGGCCATTTAGTGGACGGAAACCACCATCATGCCATATCACACTGTCTGTCACTGCCACTCACTTTTTTCTCGTCTTATACAATGTAATAAAAAAATTGTTTATCATTTCATTAAGATAATTTATGTTATTATGTGACACACACATACATACAAAGAGTGTGCAAAAAAAATCCACGAAATCTTTACAAAGTATCTCTTGTTTGCCTCTTTCGTGGCATCCCTTCTCCCTCATTTGCAATTCAATACCATAAAAGAAATAATTTTGCCATTCTTCAATTTTGCCAGTATTTTTTTTAATTCGCCTTTGTTATGTGTATTTTTGTCTGTTATGGGGTTTCAACTCTTTTTTGGGAAATAAAAAATAAAATTTTTTGAATGGCATTTAAATTTTGGCAGTTATGGCCTCATAAGTAAGAATTTCAAATGTTGACACCACGTTTCAATTTGAATTTTTTTTGTATTCCCGTCTATGTGTTGTGAATGAATATCTATCTATACATAGTTTTTTGTTTATAGGGGCTAGGTTACCATGGTTGTATGGCATGTTATTTTTTAGTGTTCCACTTGAAATGGTCATACTTCCGTTGCTGACAATAAGTGTGCTGTCTATATGTGTATAATTGTTATTGTCGTTGTTAGTCAGTTTTTTTTTTTTAATTTTTATTATAACATTTATATGAGCAATTACATTTTAAAATTGTTTTTATTATTTATAACTATCAATAATTTCTGTCGGTTAACTAGCAATTTAACACTTTTGTTTTATACCAAAAACAAAACAATGCAAAAAATATGGATTATAAAAATTAAATATGAGCATATACTTTTTTTATTATTAACTCATAACAAGTAGTGGTTTTCGGTAAATGTTTATGGCCATAATAACGATCGAATGGGAACTTTGTTACGTTACAATAAAAACAATTTAATTTCATTATGATTATTATAATCCAAAAAAGGAGGAAATTCTTCA